AGACTATGAATACAGGTGGCTCAGTTTGGCCCTCAGCTGGCACAAAAACAAAATTTAACATTACTTTTAAAGTGTTTTGACTAAAATCCAGCAAAGTACTTAAGCCTACACACAGTGCTGATTTAACTGTCTCAGTTTATAGTTACACTGGTGCAATTTCCTAGTATGGATACAGTTCTGCTAGTATTTGTCTTGGCATAACTTAGCAAGACACTTTTACAGAACTGAATGCCACTGAAAGTCAAGAAGGCTGGGGCAAACCTGCAAGAGAGAAAGCCAAACCTGAGTAAACTGAAAATGCAAAACTGAAAGGGCATAAGAAGTGAAAAATTTGACTATTGAAGTGTTCATCTTCAAAACCTTCAAGAGATCATTGGTGGCATCTCTCAGAACACTTTTGCCAATGTGTCTATTTATATGTGAATTCATTTCACAAGTAGTAGCCCCTTCCAGAAGGTGTGGATGAAATGCCTGGATTATACCTCATATAATGTAAGACCCATTGAGCTGAATATGGTCTAATTGGTGGGTTGAAGCATAGAAACCTGTTTTAGGTTCTGTATGGCATGTAGTGAAATCCCTATTACAGTCTTCTGATTCTGCTGAGAATACATTATTTTTTTTATTGTTATTTTCCTTTTTGTTAAAACTTAATGCAGCCAAACGACTCAAGATAAAAGAAAGCACTTTTTCTTTTTTCCTTTCCAAAGGATCTTCGAGGAAGAGTTTGACCACGAAAAAGGCTGATAAAAATGAAGGAAGAATAATGACCTTTTTATGTATTATTTACAATGCACAATAGTGGTCAAAGTGACACCATTATTCAGCTTTCCAATACTTTTGAATTGGTTATGGATATCACATACCAATGGGAAATATACCTAATAACCTAGTTCTACTTTGGGAAAGGACTGTTTCTAAGACCCTCCCGTAAAACTAATAAAATTTTTATTTATGCTCCACTTGGTGCTTCAGATGGTTCATTTCCCTAGATCCATTCATTTTCTTTTTTGGTTGTTTCTGTTATGGGCTGATTTGCTTTGGCTTTGCACTAAATAGGATGTAAAACTAAGTGCTCCTGATACAATTTCTATGGGTTTATTTGTTGCTTTTTGTCCACCTTGCTTTGTATAGACAGCAGATGTATTAAGCGAAGATGCACAGCATACTAAATTCTTATCTCATTCCAAGAACATAGTGCTTCCAAATTAAATTGTTCAAGATGCAAGAAATGGCACTATTAAAGTCACCAGTACAAACCTTAACCTGTCCCCTTCCTCGCAAACATTCCAACTGTTGCCATTTTTCATTAAATGCATCACTATCTATCAGCATATGGACGCACTAAATGACCAAACATTAACCCTAAATACTTGTTCTCTAACTCTATTTGAAACTACAAAAAAGAAAAATCTATTTAGTATTTTCAGTGATTTCTATTACACCTTAAGTAATTGCCATAATTTTGTCTACAATATAATACTGCCAAAATTAAGAATAGAAGTTTAGCCTTTAGCAATCCACTATCAGTTTTCATGGATACCATAAAGAATTTAACAGCTTCTCTTTTTGTCACATGAACCATACGGGCAGTGACTCTAAGATTAAGGGGCTTTCTCCACTACCAAGAAATTAAGTCCCATGTTGAACTATTCCTGTTTCTTTTCAGTTGCATTAGGATGTTGCTAACTAAATCCAGTAACATCACAGCAAAACCTTACTTGGGCTCAGGCTCAGAAACTTTGCAACCTGAATATCAAAACTAAAATAATTACTATTCAAATAAGAAGGGAAAATATAGTATGATATACCCCCATGCCCCACAAAACCTCTACACATAGTACTGTTTCACTTTGGATGCACAAATAGTTGATGCACTGTACAAAGGCAAACATGGTTTGCCTTCCAAACTGGGCTTCAAACCTCATTACATTTAATAGTTCCGTACCAAAATGCCAAGTACTTCAACAAAAATTCTGGCCAGATTTACATACTTAAAAAAAATTACCGAAACAGAAAAACACAGAGAAGTGTAACATTAGAAAGTTCTAAATTCAAACTACACTTCAGCAGCATAAAGAGGGATTAATCAAGAACTGTGTTGGTGAACTTCTAGAAGAAAGGAACTCATTCCAACAGTGCCCGTCATGCTGGAAGGCATAGTTGTAGCACCTTGTCTTCATCAACTGGAAAATAATGTGCTGTGCTGTTTGCAGATAGTGCTGGCAACCATTCTTCTGCATATCCTGCATTCCCACTGTGGTAGTTTCACTCTGAGCCTTCCTGGAAACCGGCTTGTGACCAGGAAGGAACTAGAAAGGTGATCACGGAAGTATTCCACGCCAACTCCAAACTTGTACACCCACTCTGTGTGGACTTATGTATAGCAAAGACTACATGTGATCCCCCAGGAAGTCCAGATATACTTGTGGTCAGCTAATTCTGTTTAAACACAAGATACAGTGGTAGTGACCATACTGATTTAAGGCAGATGTATAGAAGTGTACAACAGTCCTAAATATCTCTTTTATTTTGTACCAGAGGAGGTGGTTACAAGAAAGAAAGAAATAAAGAGAGAAAAAGAGAGACTTCTGAAATACTTAGTGAAGCTTACCTTGATGCACACTAAGGAGAAATCCAGGGATTTTGTCTGCACAGAGAAAATTGTCTAAATTGGCTGGAAAAACTCATTGACCCAGTCAGATTGTGTGAAGCTTGTGATCAAATACAGCCCCAGGCTCTCCTGCCTTATGCACTTGTGCATCTTGCTCAGAACACAAAGCTCAATGAAAAAACCCACTAGTTTACTGTGATAAACACTACAATAGAATGGTGTTTGCACAGGCATGTGTGAGTTGCTCTTCTTTATGTGGCTTGGAAACATTACATTCAAGGGGTTTTAGGTGTAAATTTACAGACACCACATGCAAAGAATTTTAAGGTTTCGTTGTTCAATTATTTTAAGTAGAACAATGAGAACATCAATGCAACAACAATACAAATTAATCAAACAACAAAAAGTAAAGCAATTAAAGCTAAGCAGTGAGACTGATGAATTCACAGGTCCTTCTGCAATGCATATTCAAGAGCCTGAGTAATTAGGTGTAACTGTAGAAAGATTGTTAAATGTCCTTTATTGTATATCTGTGAAACCTACTTCACTGAGAAAACAAGTACATTGTTTCTGAGGCTCACTTTGGATAGCTACAAAAAATGAGGAAGGAAAGATGGTTGTGTAATTTAGAATATGGAATGGGAGATGGAAGTCTCTTGAATCTTTGACTTCCTACGTTGCTTCAGGCAGTGACTTAATTTCCCATCTGTAAAAAAGTTTGACAATCCTTCTGTGTGCCTATCTGGACTAGGAGGACATGTATATTAAGAATGATCAAACAGAGCATAAAATAAATAACAGTATCATTCCAAGGGTACAACTCACCATACCACCAGTGTTCCATAAAATCAAAGCTAGCACATACCTCAACCTCTGTCTCTATTATTGTAAATATCTGTGTTTCCAAAAATCCTGCATATGTTTCCTTGCCATTATTAGGCAGAAACTTGTATTTCTAGTCACTAGAAATTCTCGGATGGTCTCATCTGTGGAAGTCCAACTAAAGCTGCACTCAGTTCTGCAAAGTGCTGAGTATTGTCAGTCCTGATTGGCAGTGAGAGGCTCAGAATTTCTGCAGTACCTCTGAATATAAGACAAAGGTTAAATTTAACCTTGTGAAGTTAGTCCTCCTCCAGACAGTGTTTCAGGTCCTCTGGTTCAGGCCTCCATTCTGAACTGCTTCCACAACCCTTTTCTTTCCTCCTCTCTGTGTTGACTATAGCTAAGTCAGTATCACTAAGCATAAATTAGTTTTTCTGAATACTCCAAGCTCAATTCCAAAAGTTGACATCAAAATTCATCCTAGCACAACTTTCAAGATGGAGAGGAAACCAACATAACTGATCTAATGAAGTTGTACTCCTTAAGTTACAATAGCTTGCTTTCTTTTAAATCTAGATTCTGGTTAAGGTTTGGCAGCACATAAATTCTAAATTAGCCAAAATAATTACAAATAAATACATTATTAATCAGAGCATTACTCCCGTGACTTAATGAGCCCATAGCAACTCTCAGATCAGTAGTCTGTAACTACAGTATGTATTTGCAACTCTCTGGCAAGATCTAGGTAAAGTACCACATAAGCAAGTATTTTAAATAAGTCAGGTTCAACTGTTTACGCTAAGGTAGCATTGCAGTTAGAAATGATCTTCATTGTAAGCCTAAGTCAATCCTCCTTTGGAGCAAACATGCCAAGTGATACAGAGCAGATGCACAGCAGTGGAACATTGTGGTAACATAAAAGTGAGACAATATGGTGAAGGTTTTATATAGCTTCATTTTGCAAATCCTTTCAGAGTTCTATGTTTTCTTATCTTAAAGTGACAAAGACAAATCTATAGAGACTGATATATATAGTTGTTGAACCCTACTGAGCAATTTTTGATGGAATTCTTTGTAATAGACCTGGACAATGACAACAATGACATGAGATTAGCTCTAACACTATTAGCATATAAGGAAAAGTGTGTAATAATCTTATCCTGTGAATCCAAATAACATTAAAAAATGAGAAAAAGCCACCTTATCTGCCTTGACAATACTGTAATAAATTATTCATCTGGCATAACAACAGAATGGAGTAAAAGAGTCCAGAACATCAACTTGAATCAAAACACTGATGAGGCAACCTATTTAAAATAAGCTAATTCTTTATGTCTCTGAAAATATTTAGTGGTCATCTTCCCTCAGGCTTTGTTTCCAGGCAATGACTGCAATTGTTTTCAGATAGAGATGCAGCTCTCTCTGTTCTCACCCTGACCTGATGCTTAAACCTTGGTTTTAAAAATATTTTGCTCAATAAAACACAGCGACCAAAGCTGCTTACTCCATCTAAAGCATTCAGTCTATCAAGTTTTTATAAAGAAAAGTTACATAAGATCCTTACCTTAATGCATGTGGATTTGACTGGAACTTCCTCTCAGACCCTCGAAGGTGTCATTGTGTGGATAGAAGATCAGTATTGAATTTATCCTCTCGTTACTCTGAAACAGCCAGTGAGCCTGTGAAATGGGGAGCACGCCACATAATTAGAAAATTATCCACTGCCAACTTGCTATTATCCTATGCCTTTCCTAAGAGGAACAAAAGGTGTGCCACACTGACAGCACTTCACACAGGTAATACAAGAAGCTCTCAAGAGTTTTCAGCAGTCTTCAACTTAAATAAAAACACTAGATAGTTTATAATATGGTAGCTAAAGCTAAGGCCTTTAAGGAGCACATAACCTATGTACTTAGTATACAGCACTAAAAGTCAAAGTCATAGTAGAACAGTTGTTTCTTAGGCTGAAGACTTTTCTCTTTAGGCTGAAGCCCAGCTGGATTCAAATCCTGTAAACTAGGGCTTCAATCTTCATGGAAAGTTATATTTCTGTAAAAAGCATATTAACACAAGAAGACATTTACCTCCAGGCTCTCATTGTCAGATTACTCTTTATATTAAATTGTCACAGAAGAGACTTTTTTTACGAAGTCAAAGATCTGAAAGATATTATCAGCAGAAATGATAGTTAGTGACTGATAAGAATCCAGGAAAAAGTCCACAGGATATCACTTAGGAAAAAAAGGCAGCATTATTTTGTAAAAAAATCTTCAATGTAAAAAGAGGGAAAAGAGGATTCTCCATGTGAAAACTAAACAGTTCAAAGGATCTTTTTCTGCTTAAAATACTCAAGTCACTAATATTAAGTATGGCTTCTGTGCCTCTTTGAGGAATTTCAGTCTTATACAGGTGCCAGTTCACCACACTGAGAAAGTCACTCTGATGACTTTGTCTTTCAGACAGCCAAGTCACCAAGGCCCAAACACTCCTGAATGCTGCTCCTGAGGGTGCAGTGCAGCACCCCGAGAATCACTGGAGATAGGACTGAAAGGTGAATCCTTTTCCAGCCCTGGCCATAGTCCTGCATAGCTCATGAGGCAGTGCTGGCACTGATGCCAGATTTTCTGAAAACAATATCAGAAAGTGAAGGTATTATTTCCATCTCAAAAATGATTCAAGAATTAGACAATGAAACTCATACTGGTGTCAATAATATTTTGGCTAAAGGTCAGGAAAATGTCTGATGAAAACATTGTAAAAGGAACTGAAAATATATGTCTCCAGGTGAGAAGGAAAAATCCTATTCCTAGTCAAGGACTCCTTGTAGAAAACACATCACTAAGTTGTGCCTCCACTAATGCTCCATGAACTGTGACAATCTTGTAGTAGATTCACCCACCTCCTCTCTAGTTGCATCACTAAGGAGGTATCTACAGATGATTGCATATATTGTATCAGAGACTGCCAGCAAATTATTCAGTACACTTCCAACAGGTCTGTAATAACACAGAATCAAAATCTGAATGACTCAATAATAATTATTTGCTGTTAGATTCACCTTACCATCCTCTCTTTATTTACAGTTACATAAGTTTTACCTCAATCAAGTAAATTAAAAACAGTAACCTGCTTTCTACTAGCAGTGTTAACACATTTCAGAAAGTACCCAAACCACATGAATTTTCTAATGTCATGGGAGTTAATGCAGTCTCTAATACAGTGCTTTCCTTTACACACCAGGCTATAATGGCTCAGCTGTAGAGCTTGAATTTGGAGTGAGGAATTTTGCTTTCCAACCCTTTTATTGTCACTGTTGATGCCAAGCTGCTCAGCTTGGCAGGCCACATCCTACATCTGTGGGAACTGCATGTGATGTTCATATTCCATCCTTCCAGTCTGGAAGCCACCAGGTTACACAGCCTAAGATATTTTCTTTATGCTTGGGTGCTGATAATAAAGTTCTGTTCTTGCATTTCTCTCCTGAGATGTTGGTTGATGTGTCCACTTACAAAGTGACCCTGGCAAGCTTTCTACTGGAAGTCAAATTTTGCAAATCCCAAAATTTTTTGAACCTTTATCTTTTCTCATGTTTGCCAACCAAATAGGGAGGACTATCATGGAGCACATGTCCCATTTTACAATGAGAAAATTAATTTCACTCTGGTCTTAAAAATGCATAACTACTACAGGGGAGAATAACATCAATAGTCACTGTGAACTGTATGATCCTGAAAGGGAGATTAGGGGGAAAAAAAAAAAAGACTCAAAGTAGAAAAAAAGAAAGAAAAGAAAAAAAATCCTTCCATCTATCATGAACACATTCAAGGGGAACAACAATGCACATTCTTAACCAAACTTCAATGCAGATTTACTTTACTGTATATTCCATACACTCATTCACACCGTGCTTCTTAATAATAAACAAGTGAAAAGTAAAAAATGCAACTGCCAAAGGAAGTTTATTTATGTTCAAACTGTACCGGAGAAATTAGTCAAGGGCAATTCATGCATGTGAAAATATGATTTCTAACACTGCCAAGGTCGATAAGACCTTAGGGAGTAAATGCTAACCACATAAATCAAAGATGCCTAGAGGCAGTTTTGAAGATGAGCGGCAAGGCTTTAATAGTTTTAAAAAGCCTGTTAATAATCCAAATGAATAAGCAATGATACAAGAAGAGCAAATATCTTGTTTATGAAAGGAACAAACCACTGCTCCATGTATTTCTGTGGATTGGGTTGCCCAAACCCAGAATCATAGGATTCTCTGCTACATTTCCAAAGTAAGTATCTGATTATTTCTCAGACCTGAAAAATGAATAAAGGTGCACGAGCCTAAATGAATCCGAGCTGCCAAGTTAGTTTGCTTGCAAAATATTTTAAGACAGCTTCAGTGACCAAAGTAATTTTATAAGAATATTTCCTCTTTTGCCGAGATTTCTAAACAGAAATGCATTTTATCTGAAAATGCATACTCGCTAGTTTGTTAGTTGGTTTTTTAACCATTTTCCCCTGGTAGATGAAAAAAAGCAAACAACTTTCTTTTCCCTCTAAAACTGAAAACTGACAATTTTTCATTTTAAGCCCAGACAAAGAGTACTTCTGGGGCTTCTGACTAGCTGGGTCCAGACACTCCTATGGTTGCCACTGTAATATCTAAATGTCTCCTAAGTTTCAGGTTGCCTTTCCAAAACATTGGGTAAATTAGAGCATACTCATTTCCCACACAGCTCAGATATCTGGGATACACATCTAGTATGATATCTGAAGACCTCTGAAATCAAAGTGATTTTTAAAACAATCTTTTAAAGGAACTCAGTTTTAGCTGTTAAAAATACCTTGAATTATGAACAGGATGAGTTTGTTTCTGAGTCAGACCCTTCAAAACCTTAAACAAAGATGAATTCATAACAGAGCTGGCAATTAGAACTCACTGTATTCATTCATTTCTATTAATAATAGGTTTTTGAATGTTCCTGGATTGTGCCATTATATCACATTTTAGAAAATACAATCCATGATAGCATCCTGGTTTTACTGCTAAAGATATTTAAACCATTTTTTTTATGTTGCTTCTGTGAAGGTAAACTGTTAAATTGCCACAATCCCTTTCAGGACAAACTTTTCACTGTCTCAAGTTCCTGTTAACAAATTCATGACTATTACAACCTATTCCTTTTCTCTTCTTGGACATTGCTTTTTAATAGCTCTGCCATCTTGATATCAGGAAAAAAAAGTTTGAATCGCTATGCAGATTCCTCTGATTAAGGGATAGGGTAATTAATCTGGCATATTCAAAACCTGAGCATGAGCAGGCAGCTAAGTCAGAATAGTGAGAAAATGAGAATGCTGTGGAGAGCAAACGAAAATAGAGTTATGGACCAGTTGCATACAGAGAGATGTAACCTGAAGACATGCAGCCAATTAAAATTTGTTGGCAAAGGGTACAGGAGGAAAGGAAGGAAGGCAAAGAGAGAAGACATCAGCTAAACATGAAAAACTGCTGCGTTCTACTTCATGCAGGCAGAACTGGGTTAGATGGTTGTGGAGTGTGCATACCTGAGAAGCAGCAGGACAAATCTCATTGTTAATCTTGATATCAGAGACACCTGAGTTTCTCCATGAATCCTTCTTGCCTTTTTGGCCTTCCAATATTTCTGTGTTTTCACTCATTTCCTATATTCCTTGGTCTCGGGACCATTCTGAAGTCTGAATCAAATTTGGAGAATTTGATTCAAATTTCTGGAGGATGAAAGAATATTTGATCTCACATAAATATAGTTTGATCAGCAAGGGTGACAGTGATCAAAAGCTAATTGCCATAGTTCCCTACTTTTTTTTTTTCCTACATAGATGTGCACTAATTCCTCTTCCTATAAGATAATGCACTGAACTTAATAAAGAGGAGGTTTTCACAGTCCCCTCGCTGTAGAGAGGGTAAGAGTGCTGGGTAAACTGCATGGAAAATATAGGTAGAAAACACAGTAAGAACTCATTACACTTACTACAGTCACTGATTATCCTGGCAAATACCTTGCTGAAGAACTTTTGGAAAGCACAAGGTCACAAGAAATCTTGGGGGTCTTGAGACCACACCTGTACACAGTTGTTCCCACACATAAAATTTCTACCTTCCTCCTTTCCTCGCTGCAGAGAAGGAAAATAGGCTAAAACATGGGTCCTCCTCTTTGAGATGAGTTGGTAAAGATCAAACATTATTTGCATGAGGTTTCCAGTGAAATTCTGCCAGAGGACAAAGGGCTATATGGGCCAAGAAAAACCAGAAGCTCTACAAGTGTAGGAGGACTGTGTTTGTTGGCTGAGTTTGGGAATAAGTTGAAGTCAGACTAAAGAGCCAACAGCAGCTGTTTCTCAATTTTTTATTATTTTTTTTTTTAATCCCAGCACAGCATGCAAATAATTTGCTATGGACTTGAACTGGAGAAGCCAAGTATATAGTACTGTGGAACTGAAATCCAAAAAATATAATATTTCAGGTTAGGAGACCTGCAGCTAGTAAGCCAAAACCACTGTTTGCATTCAATTTTCTGGCTTGATCACAAGCACTCTTTCTTCCTGATACATTTAACTAAAATGTGCAGGTATTGCTTCACATGCACTTCCTTGGCTTTTTTCAATGCATACAAATATCTGCATAATGTTTTAGCACTACCACCAGATTTTACCACCAGCAAAATCTTTTTTTGTTTGTTTGTTAGAGCGCAATGATGCTTTCTGCCCCTGGATGTATCTGGAGTTTGCTGAAACATTTTGACTAGTATTCCCAACATATTCTCACAAAACTGATCAGCTGCTCTGAGACAAAAATGCCACTGCTCCCTGCCTGCACACATCATTTTGACAGGTAGAAAGAGTGGAGTTGTACAGACTACAGATGATGTAAAAATAACCTATAAAATATTATCTATTAAGAGGAACAGTATCATACTTACTTGAGCCACTCTGTAGCTGTTGGAGTTGACCACTGTGCTTTCCCTCAAAACCTTTCCTCAATTAATCTCTCATATCTACAGTTTTGACAGGCTTTTCCACAGAGCATGCAAGGAACACATTGCTCTCCACATATCCATTAGAAGTTCATATGGGGCAGCTTCTTTGGAGACATTTTTAATCCAGCATGAATTCCTTAGCATGATCACACTATACCACCTTCCAAATGGCTGGGAAAATCCACATTATCTTGGATGAGCGGTCCTAAATGCAGATCTGATTTTCCAAAGAGACAGGCAGAAAGACAAGTATTTTCAAAGAATATTTATTGTTATGGTAGCTAAGGTGCAGAGTTTCAGAGTTACTTTAGGCCAAAGACAGGACTAACACAAGAACAAACAACTAGAAAAAGTGCAACAGCCTGTACCTTGTTTTCTTATTTTTTTAAAGACCAAAGTATCATAAAAGATTTTATATAAATAGGTAAGAGTAATGAAACCAAAGGGATATGACCAATTAAAATGCACATAATTTTAAGAGAGAAAATGCAGATCAATTAAGATGATGTTTCAAACCTATGGTAATTTATATTAGCTGAGGATCTGTCCCTAAATATTTAAACAGCAGTCTTGACACTTCCTTTCCCTCTCCCAATTTAAGACTTTAAAGGCACTTTGCAGTTCAACAGTCCAGAGTAAGAGAAACTCTACTGCATGCTGCTTCTGGGTGATAACACAGCCATCATCTGCACCAAGAGCAAACAACATAATAGTGTGGGCTTTCTAAAAGATAGAGTGAAGAATAACTACCTAACTATAATCACAAAGGTAATTTTAGCTAAGTAAAATACAATTACACTAGCCAGAATTTCTTTTGGACATGATTAGTAACAAACGTTCCTTGTCCTGTGAAAATGTGCCAGGAAATTTTAATTGACTGCAAGCATCCAAGGCTGCCATTAAACACATCATCTGAAAGATGAATTTATTTGGCCCACACTTAACTACCATGTAACCTGCTTTATGGTTTACAAGATGGAATGATTTTGTTTTACATGACAGTTATTGGGCCTAATTCTACTCACAGCTATGCCAGTGAAAAATTTGGAACAAGTCCATTAAAGTCAATGGCTGTGTAAAATCAGAGTAAAATTAGACTCAGGCCCATCATGCAATGTAATAATAACTGGTACTAAAAACTAGTCCAGTTTCTGCTTTTCCAATTGGTATCAAGTGGAACCAAGCACTAGATATCACATTATTTTAAGATAAAAGATACCTAAGACTTGGCCCTTCCTCAGAGACCCAGGCTCGCATAGCTCGTCTGACACAACACACCGTGTGATGAGAGCACTGCAGGGATCTTTATTCCCTGGCACTTTGGGAGGACAACATAATGAAAATGGAGAAGAAAAGTGAGGAATTCATAAAGGGATTTTTGATTATAATAACACTTACTTGAAAATCACTTCAGAATTACAGATCCTCTTTTTTAATATCAAAAGTTTGAGTCACTTTCTCTTATACGGTTTGAGCTTATTGTTTCTTGTGAGTTCAAGTTTTCCACAGCTTGAGATAGGGCAGGACTTTGTTTTCTGTTTCCTGACAAGGTTATTATGCTATACAAAATAGTTTTTCTCCCAGTGTGGACTTCTCCTTTTTCACTGTTTCTTCGCCTTTCTGGGGACAGCAGTACAGAAATAGGTTTAATGAATGTGTCTGCTTCTGGGGTGCTTTCAAAAGGAATGTCCTAACTTTCAGTACTTACTTCCATGCAAAGGAACATCCTTTTAGGGTTTCCTGGAATGAAGAATCACATCTTACACCTAAAAATAAAAGATTAGGGTGATTAATGTGACACAGTATAAAATGACAAACGTTTTCCACTGCCCACAACCAGTTTCCATGATCTCCAAATACCAGATAGTTAACATCCAATAACTTATACTCTGGTATTCTACCTGATAGAAGCTTTCTTTTTATATCAATCATTAACATTATGTAATTTATTTATTATAATATTCAAATCAGAAGCCCAAATATATAACAGGACTATAAAAATACTAGTAAGTGAAGTTTACTTTCAGCATCTGGTGAAGATATGCTCTAACAGTGTAAGTTAACAGGTGGGGGATTTTTGCTGTTGTTTTCTTTTACATTGTTGTTCTAAAAATAGTAATTTTAATATATACTCAATTTGGAAGCTTTTGAACAAAATTAGACATACAGTTTATTCACAATCTGTACTCTACAAATTGAGCCCAGCATTAGGTCAATGCACAAGCCACTGTACTTAGCACAGCTCTGGACCAGAGACACTGAGAGAAGAAAGGAATTAGAAAGGAAATAAGATGCTGTATCAAGATAGGCACATTGGGATTTGTTCCCATGCTTAAGAAATTAACTAGATTATCATTACTTTCTTGGGAAAGTCACACTCTGAACAAACACAAGCCAGTGTTTCTCGTCCTTTTTCTTTTCTTGTTGGTGTTGCTCATTGCTTGAGTTTTCAGACTGCAAACTGTTGTTAACCAACAGCTTTACAAGGACCACATGTATATGAAAANTGCTCCCTTCCCAAGTCTACTGACAACCAGCTGATTTGAAAAAGTGTATTTCTATCTATTACAGCACATGTACAGGTTGATAGCATTCAAATGACCCCATTTATGTTAGGACTAGTAAAGTAATATTCTATTATTTCATTGAAAATAAAATGTATTGAGACATTTCATGTTGTTTTTCATCTTCCTTCTGTTTCAATATTACTTTAACTGTGATTTGTGCCATCTAACAACTAAAGGTTATCCAAAATAATTGTTGTACATTACATCCATTGCATTAAAGCTGATCTGTGTTTATAAAACAAGATTTTTTATGAATAAAATACATTAAGAAAATATAACTGTCTCAACAGCAATTCTGTCAGTTAAAAATACAGTGATATAGCTCGAATTTCTACACTTCAGTGCATCTCTTGAGGGAGTGAAATGCTTATTAGATGGTAGCATGTGTTATTCCCCAAATCTTCTTTTATATGCCTATTTCAAGTGTTTGATTATTGCCTGGCTAATAATAGGTGCTTCATCAGTTAAAGAACAGAAAGAAAAGACCAGAGAAGATAGTGTAAATTGTAGCATGTAATTGTTCACTGACTGTCACTGAAAAGGTTCAGCTGCTACTGTATGACAATCTTGCTCTGATGTCTGCAGCCACTGTTTCATGTAACAGCAATTAAAGCTGTGGGAATTGGGAAAAACTCACCCACAGAGACCAATCCCGCCCCATTAATTTTTAAGTGCACAGAGCACTCCAGAGGACAGAAGAGCCCACCTGGGGCCAGTGAAAACACATCACACCAGTCACTGATTTATTGGCATCAGGAGATGGGTGGTGAAAAGGCTGTGAACTTCCCAGTTCCATAGTCTGACTTGCACAGGTCATTCCCTGTCTTTCCTTCTGCTTCTTCACCTTGGTCACCCCAGAAACCTCATCGAGACATATTCTGGTTGCATTCTACATTGAACCTGCCCAGAACTACATCTGAATTGAATCTGGATGGAGGCAAAGAAACTGGCAGCTAAAACCCGTTTCTGAGGCTCTGCTAAGAAGGAGGATTTTGAGAGCATGGCAGTTTTGCAAAATAGAGCAATGAAGGCCTTCTGAGCCAACCACAAATAGAGGAGTGTGTTGCAGAAACAAATGGACTGAAAAAAAAACCCAAAAGCTACCCAGAAAACAGTAAGATATGAAGGAACTGAAGTAAGAAGTTACTCTTGGAGTCTGATGATTTTACTTGTTCAGAGCTGATCTTCATGGGAAAGAAATGGATAACGTGACTTTCTAAATGAAAAATACGTGGCTGATCCCCAAGCCTCCAAAGATTTTAATGAAGTGACTGGAGATGGACCTGTGTAGTACAAACAGGAAGCATTTCAGCTACTCTTCTTCCTCTCTAATGTCAACAAATACCTCAGAGCTAGACTGGAAGCACCACCAGCACCACTGGTCTCAGTGACAAAGACTACACAGTGATTGTGGAGCAGAAGAAAATGTATGTCTGTACTTTTATCAGTGCCAGCTCACAGGCTCGCTGTGCTCACACCATCCTGCCCCGTTGCTTTCACCCACTCAGACCACTCACAAATTACTGTGGGCCATTCTGCAATAAGCCAATTTTGTTATCCAACCCTTTAACACTTAGAGAAGCCTTTTTATCCAGCAACAACATAGCAGGGAAGGTGCCAACAGATCCAAATGGGCTCTGGAATGATTTATTCATCCTGGGCTTCTAAGCCTCTTTTCCTCAGCATTAATACTAAGATTAATGTGTCCCATCAGTGCGGTGCCAACAGGAACTTTAATAGAAGCAAGAACAACTAGTTGGCTTGGCTTTCTTTCTACTTAAGGTTAGAACATAATAAAAACAGCAGCCTACAAAGACTTTCGCTTTAATTTCCTTATTACTTTACAAAATGAAAATATTTTAATTAAATTTAATGAAAACACACAGATTGCAGGAACAGAGGTACATCACAGCCTAAAGTAATTCATTAGACAATTTTTAAAAGGATAAATGTAATATATTTGCATATTTTAAATGCTGAATATGCATCTTAAAACTTTCTAATAACTTTGTGCAGACAGGTGTATTTGTACCAAAGCACAACATATATAATGCTTAGGAAGGATTCATAATGACCATGACCGACATCCATAGAGTACATGACAGACATGATGCAGCTGCAAATTAACATTAAAGAATTTGTTAGACATGAAGGAATAATTGTTCGTATAAGTATTGTCAAACCTGTGTCCCTTTCAAATCTCTTTATCCACATTTATTGCCAGGGACAATACAAGTGTACCATGATAATGGTCTTGGAAGTGTGGACACTTGCTCTTATTTCACATACTCTCTTAAAGTCTTCAGCTGCCAACAAACCACAACTAGATTTTGCCCAGGATGACTTTGTGCTTAAGAACTCCTTTTCTCTACTAACTCTTAAGCTGCACAGGTTTTACACCCTAGGTCCTCAAATCTCCAACTTGAAAATGAAAGCCCATCAAAGTATGTTCAGCCTAGCTTGAAGAACACCTAATGAATGCTATTTGAAAATATAGCAAATTAAAAAGCAACCAAAACCTCTGCTCCATGAGTTGCTGAGACAGTTTAGTGACATTCTAACAAACTGCAGCATAACAAAATTACCTAAATGGACTGTGAATGATACCACAGACTGTGCATTGCATATCTGAATGCATAAATTGGATCCCTTTGGCATGTAACTGCAGTGCTGCCTAAGCCATTTAACAGTAAGCTTTCAAATTAAATCCTGATCACACTGCTGTACTACAAAATGTAACCATTTCTACCTGAGAGATGTTTCAAGTTCTTTTTCTTAAGGTCACCAAACTTCCTGCCTTCTTTTGTGGAAAAAAGTATGTATGAGTGCTCACATACTTCACTTTTCTTCCCTGCCATCCCCTGGACCAATTGTTCACCCAACTCAGGCACAGAAACTGCAGAATGTCTGGGTGGTGGTGATGGGTGAGTGGAGCAGAAACTCCATTTCCCCCTAAAAGGCAGAGGTCGCTCAACTGAAAGAACAGAAAGGCCTTTTATTCCTATAAAGAAAAGCAGAGGAAAAAGCTCTTCACAGTGAAGATGAAAAATATTTTATTTGAATCCTGGGAAGAACTTGTTCTTCTTACACTAGAGAATAGTCTATTCACAGCACAACTTGAATAGCCTTTAGCTTTTCAATGTCCACAACTGGCAAGAAGATACATTTTTACATTTATTTTTATTTTTATAAATTATTTTATGATCCCAGTATGTAAGCCAGAAGAAGACATTTCATGTTATTCCATTCAAATGAGGAAGTGTAATTTTTTTAATCATCTTGGACACTTAGATTTTAAACTTCACCTATTTGGCTGTTATTACAATGATAGTATAGTGTGGGTTTTAATTTGTTGCCTCAAATTTTTAATGATTACTTGCATACTCCTATAAAAAGTAGGACTTTCAACTGGTAGAAAAACCCCTGGGAATGTAAATTATACCTATAGGTCTTTTCATTTTTTTTCCTTTCATGAAAAATCGTTATAATCATTTTAAAAATTCTATAATATTAGTTTCCTAGAAATATAGGAATTGTAACCCTTGAATTGCCAACAATCTGTCTCTACAAATAGCAAATGCTTGCAAAAAATGTTATACAATGTTGGTTGGTAATATAAATGAAATGTTTTCTGTCTAATGTTTTATTAGATACACTACGTAAATCAGTCAACAATGTAAAAATTGAGAACTGTAAATTGTAACATTGACACTTAGCACAGAGAAGTTTCAAATTGGGTAATTTTATAATTTCTTTAATCAAAGGACACAAACAATATCATCTGACATATTTAACCTAAGCAGAGAGGTGAAGATTTGATTAGGAATACCTACATTTGAAACCAGAGTTCTCAGTTTATTCAGTGCTTAGTGAATACCAGCAAAATGGAAATTCAGAATGCCACAGTCAGAAAAAAAATTTCCTGCTTACAAATTGTCAGACTTTTCATTATAAGCTTTACATTTCGTGAAGACTCCTGCTATTAAGCTTTTTACTAATTAATAAATAGTGGCAGACATATACTATTGCTGATACTAATCTGACAATAATAATTCTTTTTAATTAATAAATATGATTTTTTTTCTGTTATAAGAAGTTGAAAAGAGAGGTAGACCCACTGAGCCCAAGTAGAATGATTTAATCTAGTTTATGCACTGAGCTTAGAAAAAACACATTAGATAAACAGCTTGAGGAATCAA